AAAAAAAAAAAAAAAAAAAAGTTGAGGATTTTACTAAGAATCCCTTATGCCCCGTCGACTTACGTGTTTCCTTTTTAAACTTATTCTTCCTTGAAGAACTAAGGTCATAGGAAGTGTAGAGATAAGCTCGACCTCATCCCAAGCTGAAATATTCCAGACTCAAAAAGAAAATCTACATTTTTTTTTGAGTTGGAGTCTCACTCTTTTCGCCCAGACTGGAGTGCAGTGGCCGCTCCCGGCCACCGCAGCCTCGACCTGCTGGGCTCCCGCGATCCTTCGCCTCAGCCTTCCAAGTAGCCGGAATGACAGGCATGTGCTACCACGCCCGGCTGGAAAATCTACATATTTTATAGAAGTTAATTTACTTTTGATAGTTTCTGTATTGATAGACACACTATTTTGTTGTCAGTAATATCTGTCATCTAATGACTAATCACTGAAAGGATTTCAAATGGTTAAATAAATGTTTTAAATCCTTTAATTAAAGATGTAAAGGCATTTCAGTTAATTTTGCATAATTTTAAAAGTAAAATGGATTTTCTCCTTGCTTCTCTAGTATTTACATTATGAATACTGGTTTTCAGTCCAATGTGCATCACTTAAAAATAATTTCCTCTTTTTTTGTCCTAGAAATCATTATTTCAGTTAACGAAAAGGCTAATGCTAATCTGAATTACTGTTTGATAAGAACCTGACTAGATATATGTTACTTGTGGGGTGATGTTTTAAAACTTTATTTCAAAAGAAACAGTAGAATTTTATTTCTAGAATTATCGTAAGGCAGAATTTCTTAGAATTACTATGAAAACTTCGTAATTCACCCTGTAAATAACTTTTATCATTTTGTCTACATTTGTTAGTGTTTATCTGTGTCTCCAGTTTCTTTATTTTGTTGTTTTTTTTTTTCTCTCTCGTATGTCTGGTCACTACCCTGGTGCTTGGTTATTAGGAAAATATGTGGGTTTACATTTGCGGCTGTGGTTGGAAAGTGACCATGGCCGCTCACACGTTCTTGCTGTGGTCAGCTTGCTTTGACTCTTCTGCTCGTGGCAGCTTGCCTAGCCTCTGGACTCACCCTTATTTTGTGAGCTGGCAGGAGGTACCACACTATTTAAATCGATTTTCTTCTTTAAAACTTTAAAAATAGTTTTGCCAACTGGGAATATTTAAGTTCGTGTGCACTGTTCCTTGTGACTCTGTGATAATGCCTTTCTGTTTGTATTTTCTTTCACTATAGGAATAACTTGACTGTTATTGACATAGTTGGTGTGGAAGGATTTGGAGCAAGAGAATTACTGAGAGTGGGCGGAAGACTTCCTGGTGCTGGAGGCTCACTCCGATTTAAGGTGCCCGAGTCCACGCTCATGGACTGCCGTCGACGTGAGTTCACACATGTCACATTCTGACAGGGAAGGCTGGCATTAAAGTCAAGAGCAAAAGTCTTCTTTAAGAATATTCTTCTAAAAAGTGTCTCATTGTATTGATGCAATAACTAAATCGGGCGAGCTTTTTAGCATATATAGGCAAGTACCCCTGGATTAGAACAGAGATTTAGCTCTTTCCCTCAATTTAGGTAATAGACATAAACTGGGCACAGTCGCTGATGCCTCTAATCCCAGCTGCTTGGGAGGCCAAGGAGGGAGGATTGCTTGAGCCTAGGAGTTTGAGCCAGCCTGGACAACATAGCAAGAATATCTTAAAGACAAACAAACAAGCAAACTAAAAGGATAATAAATACAGAGGAAAAAAAGAAAGTATAATTGTTGAATTACTAGAGTAGTGTCAGATATTTAACATAAATATATGAAACAGTTGATGTGACTGTGTTACCTAATCTCAGAAAATCAAAATAAAATGATGACTGGAGAGAAGACTAAGTATGTGCTGGCCACTAGAACTTTCTGTGATGGTGAAAATAGTCTGTATTTGTCTCATCCAGTACAAGAGCTTGTGATCACATGTGGTTAAGGAGCCTTTAAAAGAATAAAGCTGGGCCGGACTCGGTGGCTCAGCCTGTAATCCCAGCGCTTTGGGCGGCCGAGGCGAGTGGATTGCTTGAGCCCGTGGGTTTGAGACCCGCCCGGGCAACTTGGCGAGACCTCATTTCTACAAAAATAAATAATTAGCTGGACATGGTAGTGCGCGCCTGTAGTTCTGGCTACTTGAAAGGATTGCCGGAGTCCAGCAGGTCGAGGCTGCGGTGGCCGGGAGCGTGCCACTGCACTCCAGTCTGGGTGACAGAGTGAGACTCCAACTCAAAAAAAAAAAAGAATAGAGCTAGTGTTCCTGAGAAGTTAATTTTAAAATATGCTTTATCTTAATTGAAGTTTAACTAGCTGCATGTGTCTAATGGCTACTGTATTAGACAATGCAGATTTAGAAATACATTGAAATGTTATACTGGATAATGTCTGAATTATGCGTGTATTTAAATTAAATACCTTTAGCCACTTACGTTAGTTTTAGCAACTTCCTTGGGAACTAAAACAGAAGTCATACGATAGGTGTGAAATGTTTTTGGTAAATTCTGTCGTGATTTCCTATTTTTAATTTTATGAAAACACTGAAAGCATTTTAGTGTAACAATGTTTTCTATAGGGAAAACTGGTTGGTGTAACTCTTGGGTAATTTGTAGTGCTATTTTAATGTCTCATTGGAATTTTTGTTGTTGTTGTTAGAAAACTATGCTAAATGAGCACTGAGTTTGAAAAAATTTGTTAGCAATTTTGCACTCAAAATTCTTCAGGAAGCATTAATTTTCTCATTTATTCATTCAAGTAATTTAGAGTTGACCTTGATGATAGAATTAGGGAGTAATATAAAACCTTTAGAACCAGATAAAATACTAGTTCTTACATGAAGTACCCTGTGGGTTTTAAATGTATAGGGATTTTTTTTTTTTTTAAAGAAAGCAGAATTTATTGAGAAGACAGAAAAACTCCCACAGCGGGAGGGGACCTGATAGGGTTTCCCAGTGTCTAGGGATATTTAAGAATTGTCATAACTCTTTTTCAAACACTCAGTATAAAATGTACTCTCATTTGTGAGGGTTTAATTGCTTCTTTTTAATATAGTGAGTTTGAGCTGTGTTTCTAGTAGCTGCAATGATTTACACAGAAGCAGGTACACATGTGTAAATTGGTACCTGATTCCATAGGAGTGAAAAATCACAGAGTCATGGGGTATGTGGTTGCTAGCAGTAAATCCAAACTATTTGGCTTCTGATAAGAAGAAACTTTTAACCTTACCCTTTAATAAGTAAAGGACCAAATGAGAGATTGTGATTACTTTTGGTACCTAGGCAGAGGATTTGACTTAAGAAAAATCTTGACTATTTAAGCACCTCTGCTATATCCTGGTTGTAAAACAGAATTAGTAGTTGGTCTAGCAGTTAGATAGAAATCATACTTTGAGTTTATGTTGAATTTTTTTCCCCCACATTTTAGTAATATAGACCATGGTTTGGTATATTCAATAAATATTGATCTCATAAATTATTTTAAATATATTTTATAGTTCATATAGACTATATATAATTTTTGTGCCCACTAGAATTGAAAGACAGCAAGCAAATTTTATCTATTACAAAGAGCTTTAAAGTTGAGAATATTGGACTTCTTCCCATAACTGTATCATCTCTGAAAATTAATGGGTATAATTGCCAAGGTTATGGATTCGAAGTACTGGATTGTCATCAGTTTTCTCTGGACCCAAACACATCCCATGACATCAGCATCATGTAAGCATTGGGCTTGAATTTCAGTTTTGTATTAGCCATTTAACAATATGGAGGGAAACACTGTTTCCATTTATAAGACATCTTGTTTTTATATACGTATGTGATTTGTACAAGTAAGAAATGTGTTGCTTTTCTGAATATTTTGCTTTTTGACTAAAATTTAAACTACGATTAAGTTCATGAAGATGATTCTTTTGTTACCAGGTTCACTCCAGACTTCACCTCTTCCTGGGTCATTCGTGACCTGACTCTTGTCACTGCAGCTGGTCTGGAGTTTCACTTCACTCTCAATGTGACTCTCCCTCATCACCTGTTGCCCTTGTGTGCAGATGTGGTTCCAGGACCCAGCTGGGAGGAGTCATTTTGGAGGCTCACGGTCGTTTTTGTCAGGTAAACTGCCACCACAGCTGTCCTTCCACTGAATAGAGAAGTCATCCTGGCAAACTGCACGGAAACATAGACTGCCCGGGTTAGTCCAAGCATGTGAATTGAGTGGAGTTTAGTTTGCTTTGAGAACTCTGATATGTGAAGCAGAGTAGTGACGGGTACTCTTTACAGTTATCATGAACTAATGGTAAGAGAGCGTAAGACCTAGAAGTATAATAGACAGCTATGCCCCACAGTGTTCTTTGGTAGTCATGGTGGAAGATGTGATGTTAATTGCTTGTATTAACTCAGTGCAGTGACTATTTGAGATTAGAAGACTAGAATGACCCTTTTTGAATGATTTTATGAAACTGACTTCTATCAAAGTTATAAATATGCACAATTTTTAGAAACTGGGTTTTTTTTTTTAATCTTTAAGAAACATTACAAGGTCATAAATCTTACTGAATTTTAATACTGTATCTTTAGATGTTTCCTGTCAATCACTCACCACTCTTCTGTAATAAAACTAGGCTTTTGAATGCAGGTCAGAATCATGCAGTAATGATCTTCATGGCTTTCTTCCTCAGTTTGTCCCTGCTGGGTGTGATTTTAGTAGCCTTCCAGCAAGCACAGTACATTCTTTTGGAATTCATGAAAACCAGACAGAGGCAAAACACTAACTCCTCTTCACAGCAAAACAACGGTCCGATGGATATCATCAGCTCCCATCCTCACAAGTAAGGATCCTTGTACTGTGTGGGTATGGGGGTGGGTGGGGTTGAGGATCCTCACCATTGGTACTCCTTATTTCTGACTTTATTTTAAGGTAATATAAATTTTGATTCCAATTTTGTTTTCACAAAATTTAAGTCATGGTGTGAACAGCTGCCCATTTCTTTTATTAGAGGTAGTCTCCACGTGAGGACTTAGTGGTCTGTGAGTGCTCTTTGGCAGAAAACTCCTGGAGCTTTAGAAGGAGGGAAGGTAGAATTGCTTAAATACACATAATACTGATTGCTGCCACTCTCTCATGGTTGTAGAAACAGGGCAATAGTTTGGTTTGGTCTACTTTTACATTCAATGTTTTTCTTCTTAAATTCAGAAGCAATTGCAAGAACTTTCTTGTTACATACGGCCCCTCTGATAAAGGCAGAGGGAAGGGCTGCCTTCCAGTGAACACTCCACAAAGCCGAATTCAGAATGCCGCCAAGCGGAGCCCGGGCACCTACGGCCATTCTCAGAAGAAGCACAAGTGCTCCGTATATTATAGTAAACATAAACCCAGCACGTCTGCAGCCAGCAGTGCCAACACGAGTACAGAGGAAAAACAGACCTCACTCGTGGGCAGCTCCCTATCTGCTGCTAAAGAAGATGTTTGCACCGATGTCATGGTTGAGAACTGGATTAGCCTTAAATACGCAAGTGGCATGAATGTCAACTTGCAGAAGAATTTAACCTTTCCCAAAAACTTACTGAATAAAGAAGAAAACACACTGAAAAACACAGTTGTTGTCAATAATCCTTCTTCAGAATGTAATCTGAAGGAGGGAATACAGACATGTATGTTTCCTAAGGAAACTGACATTAAAACTTCAGAGAACACAGCTGAGCTCAAGGAACAGGAGCTCTGTCCACTGAAGACCTCTAAGAAACTACCTGAAAACCATTTGCTGAGAAGCTCACCTCAGTATCACCACTCAGACTTGCCAGAAATTTCCAGGAAAAACAATGGTAATTTTTCCATTCTCCTCGATGAGTCTTCTCTCCTGCTTGTCCCCTGGCTGTTTTTAGTGAAATTTGTTCCCACTTGTAACCTTTAGTTTTAATTGTGCATGCTGGGCTGTTTAGTTTTAGCAAAGGTTTAAGTGTTGAAATATGACCTGTAATGTGAAAGGTTTAGGATGAGGAACCAAGATTTTAGAATGTTGTGACAAAAAAGTATAATTTTTAGTGCATCCATTTAGAGGAATGTGAGTATCATATTTGGGGGATGGAGGGAGGATATGCACACCTTTTTCTAATTTTTTTAATCTCAGGTTTTCAGACTGTTTGCAGAAGTTAATCAGCCAGTGAAACGGGACTCACTGAACAGAACTTCAGTGTTTAATTTCACAGCTGCCACAGTCTCAGGTTGCCCGGCCCTGGCTCTTCTCTAACTGTTCCTTGGTTTAAAGAAGACATATGTTCTCTTGTAGCAAATACAGCTAAGGGAAATGCAAGCAAAAGTAGCCTAGGAAGACTACCTGCATATAAAATTGTCATTATGCTTTAACAGATCTCTTTGGCCACTGGCATAAAGGCCTATGCGTATTTATGTTTTTGTCACTCCTATTTAAGTATGCACATTTTTGTACCTGTTAACCAGATATTGGACACTTTTTAATCTGGAAAAACTCAGTTGCCTTTGATATTATTTGCAGCATCTAAATATAAACAACCTCATGTTTTTTACTTCTTGATATTGTAAAGAAGTTTCAGAAATGTTATGGATTGACTAATTCTACTGAGCTCTATGGATTTGGTAAAAACCCAAACTGAATTTTGAGTGTCCTACGCAAGGACATTTCTTTCTTTCTTTTTTTTTGGAGTCTCACTCTGTCGCCCTGGCTGGAGTGCAGTGTCACGTTCACGGCCACCCCAGCGTCGACCTTCTGGGCTCTGGAGATCCTTTCACCTCGGTCTTCCAAGTAGCTGGAACTACAGGCATACACTCCATGCCCAGATAATTTTTTATTTATTATAAAGACGGGGTCTCGCCAAGTTGCCCGGGCTGGTCTCAAACCCGCGGGTTCAGGCTATCCACTTGCCTCAGCCTCCCAAAGTGCTGGGATTATACGCTGAGCCACCGAGCCCAGACCACAAGACGTTTCTAATGTAAAAGGAAGCTGATGTCCTCCAAATACAACGTGGTTTGGGCAGTTGCTCATGTATTCTTGGTGCACCTAGACCTAACCTGTTGGTGCTGTTTCCCCTGGCAGCCTAGCACATGCTTCAGGTGGACTTGTGTCTGCAGGGTTGACCCTGTGTCTCTTCCACCGGGGGAATGCAGTTCACCAGATCTTCAGACCAAACCATGGTATATCTTATCTGGATAATTTTTGGTGGAGCGGTTTGGTGCCTTTTGTTCTACTGTCCCAGATATTTTATGGTGCCCAGACCATGACACACTTGTGAAAGGGTAAATTATGGAGTGAGTCCTGCTGGACTTTTTCCTTATTTTGTGAGTCTTTTAGGTCTGAGCACAATTTTTGATGTAGGCTGACTGGAAACACACTTGAAATAAGAATTGTTTGAGAGGCTCACCCTCCAGAAGTGCTACATCTGTGACCCATTGTGTCTGTCAGATAAACGTGCCTGCAAAATGCAATGCCCGTGGCTTGTGGGTCGATGAATGGGAGGGATCTTCTGCCACAATATAGTACTTGGAGGTGGTGGAAATGTAGAGTGGGTCAGATGATTTGAATTGTACTTCAAGATCCTTCTGTTTAACACTTAATATTTAATGCCAGTAGCTGAGACAAGACTTCCATGTGATAACACTTTAGTAAGTATAGGTCAATTTAATATCCGAGTCCATAAACATAGGGTCTGCCTGTATCATTGTGGATGGTAAACCTGCCCAGAATCCTTCCTTCTTGTATAGATGACTAGTATGTTTATAATTTTGTAAATGGAAGCAAATCTTTCACCACAAGAATGTTTGTAAACTGCTTTTTGGCTAGATTAGCATGTTAATGTGTGTCAGGGTGATTGTTGATCAGATTAAATAAGAGTCAAGGAAAGAAATTTGGCTTCTACCGTGTTCAGACCAGCAAGTTCAATGGTGCCAATTCACCATCATATACTTTTCTACAGAATTAATATGTTAGCAGGAGATTCCTCCCAGGGAAGTTCATTCATTGTCATGTGTTTTGTTCTGTTTTCACAGCACTATTGTGGGAAAATATCAAAGATGTTAAGAAGTGAATAAATTGCCTGCCATCCATTTACAATTTAAAATATGAAAGAATTGAAAAGACTAAAATTAAGAGAGGACTGAGAAATCTAGGGAAAGATAATTGTAGTTTAAAGGTAGGACTTAGAGTTTCTTAGTAACATTAAGGATTTGGGAGTCATTTGTCAAATTTCAAAGGAAGGCATTGCAGTAACTTGGCAGAAAGTAAATGGACATATAATTGACAGGGAAACCATAATGTGTAAAGAGGGCTCAAGAATGAGAAAACAATATATACAAGTCCCTTCTAGGCCAGGCATGGTGGTTCATGCCTGTAATCTCAGTACTTTGGGAGACTGAGGCAGGGGAATCACTTGAGCCCAGGAATTCAAGACCAACCTGGGCAACATAGTAAAACCTCGACTCTACCAGAAAAAAGAAAAAAAAAAAAGCTGGGCATGGTAGAGCGCGCCCATAGTCCCAGCTGCTTGGGAGGCTGAGACAGAAAGATTGTCTGAACCAAGAAGGTTGAGGCTGTGGTGAGCCATGATCATGCCACTGTACTCCAGTCTGGACAACAGGGTAAGACTCCACCAGGAAAAAAAAAGAACCTTCTGAGTTTTCACTTTTAACTTTGAGCATTATTTCTTTTTTAATTTTTTTTTTTTTTTTTTGAGTTGGAGTCTCACTCTGTCACCTAGATTGGAGTGCAGTGGCCGCTCCCAGCCACTGCAGCCTCAACCTGCTGGGCTCCAGCGATCCTTCCGCCTCAGCCTTCCAGGTAGCTAGAACTACAGGCGCGTGCTACCACGCCCGGCTAATTTTTGATTTGTTGTAGAGATGAGGTCTCGCCAAGTTGCCCACGCGGGTCTCGAACCCACGGGCTCAGGCAATCCACTCACTTGAGCCTCCTAAAGGCGCGGGATTACAGGCTGAGCCACCGAGCCCAGCTCTTTTTTAATTTTGGAAAGTATCTTATTTTGTGAGAAGTGTGTCAGTCTCATGCGCTGAGCTTACCCCACCTGATGATTGACCCTCAGTTGTGGTCAGGGTGTTTCTTGTGTGGCCCAGTGGAACCAGAAACTTCCACTCCTTCAGTTGAAGCCAGGTAACAAATTGGCCACCTTTTAGCCATTTCCCTAATGTATTCAAATGAACTATAGAAACTTCTGGTAGTAAGATTGCCTTTAAAGGAAAGGTGGGAGGCGAGGGACAACCCTATCATGTAAGAATACCGTTAAGTGATTTTCTTAACCTATCAGAGCTCCTGGAAGCACCTGAAAAATCGTGCCTTCTCCTATTCTGAGGCTTTTAGTTTTCTGGGTATAGCTTATTGTGTGAGAAGAAAATGTTTTGGGGCATATATTGTGGCTTTCACTACATACGTCTTGCCATTGTCATCGAGAAGCAAAAAAATGTGTCTTATTTCTTTCCTGCTCTGATTCCTCGCCTCCTTCCGAGATGCCTAAGTCATAAATGAAAGTTCCCAAACTGGGTGTAGTGGCTCATGCCTATAATTCCAGTACTTTGGGAGGCCAAGGCAGGAAGACTCCTTGAACCTATGAGTCTAGCCTGGGCAAGACATCATTTCCACAAAAAAATGAAGAAGAAGAGCTGGGCTCGGTGGCTCAGCCTGTAATCCCACACCTTTGGGAGGCTGAGGTGAGTGGATTGCCTGAGCCCGTGGGTTCAAGACCCGCCTGGGCAACTTGGCGAGACCTCGTCTCTACAATAAATCAAAAATTAGCTGGGCGTGGTAGCGCATGCCTGTAATTCTGGCTACTTGGAAAGATGAGGCGGAAGGATCGCCGGAGCCCAGCAGGTCGAGGCTGCGGTGGCCGGGAGTGGCCACTGCACTCCAGTCTGGGCGACAGAGTGAGACTTCAGCTCAAAAAAAAAAAAAAATGAAGAAGTAGCCGCGTAGGGTGGCACATGCCTGTAGTCCCAGCTACTTAGGAGGCCAAGGAGGAAGGATTGGTTGAGCCCAGGAGTTTGAGGCTGCAGTGAGTTGTGATCATGCCACTACCTTCTAATTTGGATGACAGAGAGAGACCCTGACTCAAGAAAAAAAAAAAAAAAGCTGCCTATAGAAATGAAATCTGAAAAAAAAAAAAAGAAATGAAGTCTGGACCAGATTCGGTGACTCAGTCTGTAATCCCACGCTTTGGGAGGCCGAGGTGAGTGAATTGCCTGAGCCCGTGGGTTCGAGACCCGCCTGGGCAACTTGGCGAGACCTCATCTCTACAGTGAATCAAAAAATTTGCCGGGTGTGGTAGCGCGCGCCTGTAGTTCCAGCTACTTGGAAGGCTGAGGCGGAAGGATCGCCGGAGCCCAGCGGGTCGAGGCTGCAGTGGCCGGGAGCAGCCACTGCACTCTAGTCTGGGCGACAGAGTGAGACTCCAACTCAAAAAAAAAAAAAAAGAAATGAAGTCTTTTGACAGATTTTTCAAGGCTCTGTTTTCCTACTTGCTTTTTGGCATCAACCTGTCAAACAACTGAACTTTTCAAACATTTGTTACTTGTCTCCAGTCTCTTGATCATCTGATAAGAATGGGGCTTTCTTTATGTGTAATAGAAATGATCTTTGAAACATATCTCTTTTTAAATGTGTATAATTATTTTAATTGTCTGATTAAAAATGCTGTAGCCTTAGAATTTATGGCTGAAGCCAGCATGTGGTTGACCTCCTTACTACCAAAGAAAAACAGCAAATTGTTTCACTGCTTTCTTCCTAGAATAATGTAAAGGATAGTCGACTTTTACATCCAGTAATACCCTAAGCCTTGTACCTAGCAGT